GCCAGGTTTACCTCGAGGGCTTGGGCCGCGGGCCCGCAGGACGTGCTGGGTGCCCTCTCCCTGAACGAGGTGGGTGTGGAGACTGGAGCCCTGGACGGTCTTCCTTGTGGCGCTAGCATCAGGGAGGGAGGGTGGGGCCGCTGTCTCCCCCTCTCCCCCGTCCCCCCCTCCCCGCTGTGTCGCCTGGCCCAGGAAAGGTCCTGGTCAGCAGCTGGGACAGGGAAGAGCCAGGGAGACTCAGCCCCCTGTGGCCCCTCCGTACAGCTGTCACGCAGGGCCGTCTGCCTCTCACCCCCCAGTTCTTCAAAACTGTTGGATGGTGAGTGGTGGCGGGGTTTTGTTTTTTTCTCCCCCCCCTCCATCCTCCCCCTTTTCTGTTTGCAACAGCCTCTCGGGGGAGGTCAGCAGATCTGTTGGAGGAGATGGTTCCCAGGCCCTCATGGTTTGGCAGCTTGTGCAGAGAAGTTAGAGCCGGTTCCCCTGGAACATTCCCCCTTGGGCCTCTCCCTTGGAATGGAAGTAGGGGTGTTGGTGGTGGGAAGTGATCTTGTCCTCCTGGGCCTCATGCTTCAGCCAACAGCTTCCTCCCTCAGGTTGGGGCCCAGGAAGTGGGTCTCCAACTCCCTCTGTCTCAATCTTGGGCCCCTGGCCTTCTATGCAGCCAGGGCCGGGGGTTGGGGGGAGGGATAGGGCCGACTGAGAGCTCTGTTCTCACGAAAGGCAGAACAGGGCCCAAGAGAAGGAGTTGTGATAAAGCCAAGAGGGGTCAGGAGTCGGGGCTGAGTTCCGAATTCTGGCTTCCTCCTCGCTGAGAATGTCCCCTCCCATGTGTATTCAGGAGGACTTCGGGGCCCCCAACACTTATTCTGTGTACAGGGGAAAATCACACAACGAGCTTGAGAAACCGGGCTACCCAGAAGTCTCTGCTTTGGTCAGTTGGAGGACGGGGGACCGCTGCTGACATTTTCGCCGTGCCGGACCCATAAAGGATCCAGGGCTCGAGGATGCCAGTGGTTCCCCAAGCCCCTGTTCTTTCGAAGCTGGTTGGGATGGGGAGGGGCAGCACTCGTCCTCAGCCATGGGGAGCCCCCGGAACACATCCATGTGTAAACTTCATAAGGGAATAAAGAGACGGTTGGCCTTCCTGGCGCATCAGGGAAGGCTTCCTGGAGGACGTGGATTGGGGGAGAGGCAGGGCAGGTGGAGGCTGACGAACAGACGAGAGAGAAGCCTTCCAAGAGCCGCCGCCTCCATCCAGGCAATGGTGTGGCTGCTTCCCCGGAGCCTGCCTGAGAAGCTGTTCTGTTTCACGGGGGTTTCTCTCCCTGCAGACCCCCCTGTCCTGGCAAGAGCTTGAAGGTGAGCGGGCCAGCTCCTGTACGCACAAGCGCTCGGCGTCCTGGGGCAGCACAGACCACCGAAAAGAGGTAACTGCTCCCTCCGCCTCCCTGGCCACGGTAGCTACGTCCTGTCCACACCCAGCACGGCGACGCGTCTGCTCCAACGTGGCCTCACATCTTCAGTCCCCCCTGCCTTGGTGTAGCCTTTTACTAATGAGATGGCTCCTTCGAAGCTGTCAGTGGCCTGGGGGGCCCGGCTTAGGAGTCCAGACCCTTCTGCCGGCTGGGGCTTTGCCAGCGACTGCTGGTGCCCTCCAGCAGCCAAGCGTGAGATGGGAGCCGCCGTTGTTCTCGCTTTACTTTGAGGTTGTGTCCAGATAAGCCAGTCAGAGGCTGGAGAAAGAGAGTGAGTTTCTGGGGACTGGAAGCCCCCAACCTCACTTCTTACTTAACTAGTCATCTAGCCTTGTTTCATTTTTTTTTTTTT